GGGTTGAACAGCCCAAGGACCGAGGTCTGGCATTTCTAGAGTGCTTGGTCTTTGCCCCATGTGTGTTTCCCTCTGAGAGCCGAGGCCGAGGCATCCATTTCTTGAGACTTTTGAATTTTCAAGAGATGACTTTTGATCGCGATTCTACGGGAATCTTCATCATGGTCATTCTCTCGGTCACAATGTCGATTGCGGGTACTCCTCACGTTCTCACGTGCACACGTCATGTTCCACCATATCATCTGCATTTTTGTCTGTCCACGTTTGATTCTCAGTATATAATACTTTAACAACAGCAGCGCAATGGTATGATTAAAATTATGCATACTTTTCCAGGTCAACACCATAGGCAGTGATGGCCACGACTGGCATGCGCATTTCGGCAGACTCAACCTTCAAAGTTACTCTAAAGGGAGAAGCAGGGAGACAGAGACACAAAGAGAGAAAGAAACCGGAAGACGCAGAGAGGGCACGGATGCTCGGCAGGTGTCATTGTGCATGTCATTCTCGTTGGAGAGCTGCCCTACAGTCTCGAAGAGCTGCGTGGCAAAAGCAGCTGCGGTTCAGCAGATTCGAGTTGGCTTAGGAATTTGGATTTTCCGGTGTAGGATTAACGCATGGTCCACGTGCGCCGTTCGCTTTGAGAGAGCGAAAGTGTTGATGACAGATGGTTCGACTTCTGCTCAACTTGGGTTACCGATTGAGACAATCCTTCCACCGAAGCGTTTGAAGCTCTGTTTTACCTGCCCCGATCCTTCGTTTTTTCTGGGCATAGGCATCAAAAAAATTGATAAGCATCAACAAAAATGATAAGCATCTAAAAATTTGATAAACAGCTTTAAAATTCCTAAACCCTCCATGCAAATTGATTCTTGATGCTGATCAATTTTTTTGATTGCTACTGTCTAAAGCCTACACCCTCTAATCAATCTTTCTTAGATGCTTATCATATTTTTTGATGGCTACCTTGGTATTTTTTTGATGCTTATCATTTTTTTGATGTGTCACCCGTTTTTCTGCCCCAAGGCTGGTGGCCTTCGTGGAAGACGGTGAGGTGGGCAGGCTTTTTCTGAGGACTCCCAAGACCCGGTCGTGAAGGGTTCTAGCTAAGGTCATAGTATACGAAGCCGCCCATATTTTAGCTTATATTGCTTGACCAAGGTTTCTTAGGCTGGGCTTGCAAGTTGAGAGGCTGCCCCCGGAACAGCCAGCTTGTGCATTGTCACCTTGATTACCATCCCTTCCTTGGAGCTCTTCCTCTTCACAAGGGCATTCGCTGCCAGGCCTTACCGAAGCTCAAGAGAGCGGGCGCCTACAGTAGTGAGGTCTCTTGGGGGCATTTTGGCCGGAGGACGGAGATGTTGAAGCCCATCGGTGAAACGCAGGAGCAGTTGCAGGAGATTCGATTAGTTTGATTTCCAAATGTCAGCGCCCTGAGACAACACAAGTATCCAATAAGTAAGCAACATGCCATAAACAATGGTGGGATCCTTAGCACGGTTCAAATTGCCTTGCTAAGGCAAGGGGTGTTGGGTTCTCCGAAGCTCACCACTTGACAAGGAAGTACTGTTAGCTACAGAAAGACTCCCGCCAACCCTAAACTCCAAGGCTTTCGACTTTGTCCAGCGATGCCTCATCCCAGTCCACACAAACAGGCTGCCCGGCGTGACAAAGGCTTTGTTCAGATATCGGGGGCTTTCTTAAACTTGACCTTACTCGGGGCTGCCCTTCCTTATGGCGAGCATCAATCCTGTATTGGGGGCCCTCAATTTTCAGAAACTCCTGTATCGGAGATGCCAGAAGCACGGTCTTACGAGGTAGTGGACTGGTTTAGGGTTTAGGTGAAGGCTTGTGGCAGGCGGGCGATTATGCCTAAATTAATACATGACAAGGTCTGATCCTCCAAGCCAATTCTGGCGGGCTTTGGGACTGTGGGAATATGGAACGTCGTGAATGTGACGGTTTTTTTACCCGCCTGATGCGGGTATCTTACAAGTTCTGCCACCCTAAACCCCAAACATTAAAGTCTGTCCGAACAAACTTCGAGCAAAACGTTGAAACCCTAAACCCATAACAACTCTGAAAGAGAGCATTCTCGAACTCCCTACCTCAAGGTGCGAAGCTTTAGTCGGTTAGTCTCAACACCCTTGCACCCGGAGCCCAAATTCAGGTCTCAAGCCCTAAACCCAAAACCCACCCAACAGGAACCTTCTTTCAGCACCTGAAAACCCTGAGCCCTTGCCTGATGCCCTGATGCCCAGCGTCTCCAGAGAGGCTCAATACCTGTCTGGTGTGAATCAGGTGTTCCTTCTTGCTTGGCTCAGAAGCTCACCTTAGAGGCTCTGTGGGATTTCGTAGACGGAATTTTTTTTGCAGTGATGAAACCGCCTAGAACCAACCAAAAGATCTGCGCCCTGGTCACCATCCCAGGCCGAGCTCCAAAGCGCTCGCGAGCCATGGCTTCATGGATGCGAAGGATGGAGCCTTGGGGTTTTGGGACTTGGAGGCCGAACCTGAGCCTGAGCTCCAAATCCGAAGACCCCTAATGTAGGGACCTAAATAAGTACCTATACTATCTTTGGGGTGGTTCCTGTATTATAGTTATAGTATAATGGGCTCCTTGTGGCTGAAGCTGTCGTAATTGGGGCTATCCGTTATGACCGCACGCAGTTTAACTTTAACCTATACTTACTAATCTTCTGGACGTGCAAGTATGATCCTGAACCCTACAGTCCTGAACCTCGAGCTTGATTTCCGCAGCTCGTAGGCTTTCAACCTTCGAAATCCAGAGATCTGAACAGATTTTGGCTTTGCGCTTTTAAGCGTCCAGGGATTGGGGGATCAGGGTTCGAGAGTCTTCAAGACGTAGGTTCCTAAAGATCATTTACCTCAAATTCTGATACAGGCTTCCGCCAGAGGAAATCCTCAAATGAGGAATCTTTCTTGGGCTTCTGGAACGTGCTTCCATATCCCAGTGTTTCTGAAAAACAGCTATTCTGGTTGTTGCTCGGCAAGCCGAATGGAAGCTTCAACAAGTGCGAACGAGCACCAATTGCCAAGCTTGAGATTCGGAAAACATGGATATGAAGCGAGGCTCTTGTAGCGGCTTCCAAATGTTTCCTAATGCAGTCCTCTATACGGGCACTACTGGGCGTGTTGCAAAGGGTTCTTTCAGGATTCCGTAGTGAAACATGAGCTTGTTTTCTGGAAAACGGCGTGGAGATCAAGACTATGGTTCCGAAATCAGCTGACTTGAATCCTTGGTTCCACCCTAAACCATGAAGCCCCCTAAACTCTGAATCTCGGCCCTCCGAAATCCTTACACCCTGGACTGTAAAGCTGTCATGCCGCTTTGCTGTTACGAGGAAAAGGGCCCTCAGAAAGAGCTCCTCGCCCCAAACCCCATGAAACCCTCTAAACCCTATGGATTGAAGGAGACCTGCCAAACGGCCTTCGCAAATGTTGACCGAGATGGCTCTGGCACCATCGACATGCAGGCTCGGGGGCGTGTGATTAGCTTCAGCTTTAGGGGTTCAGAGTTCAAGGAATTCCGGGTTTTAGGGTTTCGGAGCTTGGCTTCAGGGTTTTGGGTATTGGGGCTTTAGAGTTTCGGGCCTTGTTTGGGGTTCAGGCTTTATAGGCTATAGGCTTCAGGCCTTATAGAGCCTTAGATAGTGCTTTCTGCAGTGGCTCGCATAGCGCGGACTGCTTCTAACTTAGCCTTAGCAATTATCATGCCAGTAGAGATCCAAACAGTGATCACAACAGAAGCAGGGCGTCACGACCACCATCACATACCAACACTAATTACTAAATTGCGTGCACAAATGCAGGTCCAACTGGTTGCCAGCTGTGGTTTTCCAGCATTTACGCCATGTTACCACCCACGACGAGCACTGCGACCAGGACGACCACGACGAACAGGATGCCAAAGACCAGCACCAGAGAGCGCACAATAGGAGACCCAGCAACAGAGCAGCAGGTGACCGCCACGACACCAGGAGACCACCAAGAGATCGCCAAGAGACCACCGAGAGAGCACCAAGAGACCACCAGGAGACCACCAGGAAACCAGGAGCACTGCCAAAGTGCTTTCCCTGGTGCTGGCGGAATCGGAGCCACAGCCGGAACGATTTCCTTCAAGTACGATCGGGATTCTATGATTTGCCCTGAGCTCAGGAGCTGCAAGAGTATCTTCTCAAGCTGGGACATGAGCCAGACACGGTGAAGGACCGGTGCGGAAGAGACACAGCCTTCATGGCCTAAAGGGACTGAAAAGAAGGTGGATTGAGGGCCCAAAGTACAGAGGCAGGGGTTTACAGGTAGGAAATCCAAATTGGGAGAATCTGTATTTCGGATCCCGAGTCCTTTCAGTTGGTGTCGTTTGGAGGCTGTTGTAGGGATCCCGTACACCCTGAACGGCAGAATCTCAATAGCGATATTCTAGACGAATACTCTTCAGTCCAAATTCGACAGCCCTACACCCTAAAGTCCTAAGTCCGAAACCCCGACATCTGCCAGAGCCCTAAATCCGGCCTGCAGGATCTTTTTGAGCGGTTGGACGCCAACCAGGACTGCAGCTGGCTACGGCAGCGCATGACTCAAGCCTTCCATGTTTCGTGATCATTAGGCATCTTCTCATTCCAAACTTCGCAGGAAGAGTCAGAAGCTTGCCCATCACACCAAGGGAATCAGGAGCATGGAAGCTCGTAGATGATTGCTGCGAAGATCCAACTGCTGCAGTCTGCGGCCCTACCTGTGCCGTTCAGTTGTTTCTTTTGTCTACAAAAGTGCAAAGTTGGAATCACCAAAGGCAAGGTAACCAGAACATGGAATTAAATTGCAGAGTACATGTAGAAGCGAAGCCACGAACTGCTGCAACCAGGGGAGCCATTAATTGCTGCCACTTCCTGCGTTGAGATTCTCAGTACAGTAGTGCTAGTTCTGACATGCTTGTAGCAGCTTGAGCGTCTGTGCTTTTCCTCAACAGCCTGCAAGAGGACGGAATAGTCTCCAAGGGCGAGTTCCAGGAAGGTTTCCACGTCCTCTGTACAAGGGAGGCAAAGAACGTCTCACAGGAGGCGCGGAATTGAATTCAACCTTAACCTTAAACGCGAATACTCCGCTAAAACCCAAGCCCGACATTCCCTAGCCCTAGACCGTGTACCTACCCAAGCCTTTGCCCGAATTTAGAATGCCAATTGGTGCAGGTGCTCTCCGCCATCGCTAAGAACGTGGAAAACTTTACATCTGCTTCAAGCATGAAGAAGGCCAGCCGTGCTTTGATGGTTAAATGACTTGACTTTTTGACGGATTTGGGGTTGTTGCGATTGCTTGCTGGTTTAGATTAAATGTGAGGAGTAAAGAGCTGTAGAGGTTACGGTATACTTGAAGATTACTGGGTAGGTATTGGAGCTATAAGGTAGAGCTCCGGTTCCGACTGCATAGTCATCACCGTATGTCTCATTACCCCGAGAGCCAGTACCTCTTGGGAAGACGGGTGTGAGGCGACACGAAGAGCTCGCGTGTCTTCCCTTCAAGACGCCTAACCCAAAAACGTTGCAGCCCCAAGCCTGAAAATCGAAAACTCGCACAAAGTAAGTCATGTCGTGTTCCTACCATACTAGTATCTGGGCGTCTGGACTCGGTCAGCCGTAAAGCCCCTGCAAGTGTTAAACTCCAATCACGTAAGCCTGAATTGCGACACCGTAAGATGGGCACAAGCTTGCCACTGTCTTGTCCCGAGCCCAAAAACCCCACAAAGTCTTAAGCCGAGGACACTGAACAGCACGTCTAGGCCGGCCCTAAAACCTCTGGCCTAAACTTAGAGGGCCGAAACCCCCTGTAAGCCCGTCTCCCCCACTGAGCCCTTGGGCCTCCCCTGAGGCGGCTCTGACCGCTGCCGCGAGGCATCTCGAAGGTGGGGCGGTGCTCTGGAAAGTTTAGGGGCTTATGTATAAGGGGGTAGAATCAGTAGTAACTGTTGCACTGTTGTTTCTATGGTTATGGGACAAGAAAGCCCCAAACCCCAGGCAAGCATGATTACACTTGCCTTCACTGCTGCCAATACCAGTATTAATTCTCTGACTATGGCTATTATTGATATGTTATGAGTTTCGATAGTATTGTCGTAATTGTTATGAGAATGGTTGTTCTTGGTACTATGGTGATTATCATGATGTCTTTGTTGTTACGACTCCTGCACTAGGGGGTTGGGGTGGGTTAGGGGTTAGGGATTCGAGCTACGCACTCCACTCAACCCTGAAGCCGAAGCCGTAAGCCGAGAGCACAACCCCAACTGCCCTAAAGGCAAGCCCTTAGTTATTTCTTTCACGAGTAACATTAAAACCTAAAGCCAAGAAGCCCTCCCAGCTGGTTTGGGGAGGTTATGAGCTTCAGAAGCTCTTGGACAAGTTCGAGTCGGTCGACTCAAACGGAGATGGCACCATTTCTCTGGAGGACCACTTCTGGGGGGCACAGCCTGAATGTTGTAATCCTTGTCGAGGGTCAGGTTTGGAAGTAATTCCCTACTTCTGTATGTAAGCACAGCAAGTGCTAGCAACAGCCGAAGCATCTCGGCCCCCCTAGTTCATCTGCTAAACCCCGAAACAGAAAACCGCGGTTTGTCCCCTACTTTGCGCTCTAGCGGTTCTTACGTTGCTGCAAATACATGGCCAAGTAAGTTAATACGATGGTCCCACAACATAGACTAGACCCGAGATGGCGCAAGAGCTCCCGGCAGTCCAAGTCCTGTAAGCTGATTGGCATACAAGATGTATACAAGATGTACAAGATGTGTAACCAAAGCAATGCAACAGACCTTCTCAGCCCATAACCAAACGGATCCTCGACGTAGACGCCGAAGGAGTGGAAACTTGGTTTCGCCATGGCAGATGGCAGCAAGACTGCCACGTGGGCGGAGGAGGTTCAGCCGGGTTTCACAGTCATAGCTCAGAGTGCCCGACACCCAAAGCCCGGACCCGCAAGCTGAAAGCCACACCCCCTAAACCCTTCAAGCCCCCAAGCCTGGAAATGGTTGCCCCCCGAGGGACCCCCGGCCCCTCCCCCGGGCCCGGGTGGACCAGGGTTTGCAATAGCATGGGGGGCAAAGGGAAGACGTCTGCAGGAATTGATAAAATATGTTGTCCTTATGAGCCTAATTACCCCAAAAGAGAGGACTCCAGGGCTTGGTTTGTGGCATGCCGAGGCTTTTGGAGTGTAGAGCCTCCCTAGCAAGTGACTGAGCAGGCTTTCCTGGCTTTGGACACAGACGGATCTGGAGAGATCGACTACAGCGAGTTCCTGGCCGCCCGCCGGAACTTGCAAGTGACAGTAGCTGTGGTCGTTGATCGCGGGCAGGCCGGGGGGAGGGGCGTGGGTGTAGTTTCGCAATGCTACCAGACATTTGTCTCAAGTGCATGGTATACAGAACCCAGACACTAGAAGATACCCTAACCTGCCCGGTACCGTAATCGGGTTCCACAGTGAATACTGTGGTTCTTTGTCATGGCAACTTGATTGTTTGTTCTGTGAACTCTGACTTTTGCAATGAGCTGACACCCTAAACATTCCAAGAGATGCCCAGGCAACCAGCAAAATCTCCACTCGAAGCCCTAAAGCCCAAGCAAACAAGTGCCCACGACCTAAGCATGCGCTAAGGCGGCTGTGATGGATGCGAAACACCTGGAGAGACGGGATCTCCTTTGGGCGACGTTCCAGGAGTGTTGGCGCCATATAGAGGTCAAAACAAAAGTATTTAGTTACTATGTTTTTTTGGTTTCACCACTTGCCATTGTCCCGTACACAACGCCCCAACGTCCTATTCTAGTCATTAAGAGCCCTATGTGGCAGGGTTTGTTCAAGGGCCCTTCTCGGCTTAAGGTTTGGGGTTCAGCGGTTCGGTTAAAGGATTCGGTCTAAGGGCTTTGACTTTGACAGCTTCGGGTTATGATCAATACCCTCCCCCTGCCTCCAAAATCAGAGCACAAAACCGGTTAAAGTAACCCTCACACCAGGACTTTGATCAGTCCAACACCGGGAGCATCTCCAAGGCGACTTGCTTTCGAGGGCTGCGCAGAAGCTCCACAGGCTTTCGTAGCGGCTGAGGGTTTAGGGCTCTAGTCTAGGGTTCTAGGGTTTAGCGGTTTAGCGTGTGAGGCTTTAGTACGTTTAGAGCTTATGGTTGGAATAGCTTATGGATTTTAGACCGCGAGCCACTGAACCCCGACTGTCGCTCCAGAAAAGCAGTTCCCTGCACAATGAGTTCACCATACTATGCTTACACAGGCTTTATGTATGTGTTGATGTTCATTCATTTCCTGTATATATGTCTGTGGAGAGACAGTGAGAGAGAGAGAGAG